ACCGTGCAGTAGCCGTCTTAAGTTTGAAATACTGACAGCCGATTTGTCAGTGGATGTTTAATTATCATCGAAAGATTAACTCACCACCACCTTTCATAAGATTTATTAATGGCGAAACCAGCTTTTCCTGTAAATCCTGTAAAACCTGCAAATCGTGAAATTGGGTTAGGTTGAATCCAAACAGTTTGTTATTTTGCGAAATCCTAGGAAACGAAAGAATTGCAAGCAGACACCTTTTTACTAATGGTTTAAATTGAATTAATGCTTTCAATCTGCTCACACGTATGAGTTGTCAAAAACCATTGTTTTGAACATGTTAACCTCAAGTAAATGTCAATTACACGAATTTACAAAAGTATTAAATGTAAAAATCAGTACGAAATCAGTAGATTTTGCGTACTGATTTCGGGCTCTTAAAAACCGGTACAATAGAAAAAAATCAGCACACGAACTGATTAAATCAGCGCATCTGGCCACCCTACATTGCACAAAAGCTTATACTTCTATTTCACAGCAAAGTTACACTTTTTCCAAGTAAATTTGCAGAGAAGCAACACTCTGCCACTGCTAAGGGAGCGGTGCGAAAGAGACAACTGTCAGTTTATTGAACCTTGTATTATTGAATCATGAATCCCACTATTTAGAGAAATACAGATTGCGCCCATCGCGGTAGGGATGCAAAAAAAACATCGATGCATCGGAAACATCGATGTTTGCTATTCGATGTATCGAATAAAAGCGATGTTTTGGACCTTCCGATATACATCGATATATCGATGTTTTTTTTTTACATGCATCGACTTTTGTGTGCAATGTACAATGTACCAAGTCGAATTTATACAAGGTGGTGTAATGCCCGTGCGATACTACGTGTTTTTCTTGTATTTCGAGTGTATTTTACACTGTATTTTGAAAGAACGAGAAAGTTATATACGATTTCAGTACTTGTGTAAGGGAGTAAGCTTTATACCAAAAAATAAACGAAAAACTGACGAAAAACAAAGTAGGTTGTTAAAAACAGTCCGGCCAAATTGTATTTCGTTAGGTTTTTTTTTACAGATGGCTGTATTTATTGATTGTCTTGCCACTTTAATTTAATTTTTTAATGCATTCGCTACCGAGCTTTCAAACCGTACGGTCGCATTTCTATAGTGTGTGTATTATACTCGCTAAATAACTACTCGTTACTTTCTGTACGCGCTTCTTAACCTCAATTTGTATTTTGAGCGCTATATTTTCCTCGTTTTGGGTTAAAAGTTAAATTTACAACTTAATCTGATAAAACCGTAATAATCTTAATCTTTCGCAATGCCCCCCGGGGCTAATAGATTGGGGGATAATAGGTTTGCACTATTATCCCCACCGCCGAAAAACAAAAGAAAACAGCCAGAAAGCTCACCACTGAACTTATTCCCGGAACTACCAATAGCAAAGAAGGATGATCCCAAGTATCTCACAATCAAATCACAGGACGACAAAAAAACTATCGCATCCACCTCTTGCTTTGCAGTTTATAAAGGTATTCAATCCATTAGCAAAGACGTTAACAAAATCACATCTCTTCGAGATGGCAGCCTACTACTCCTAGTCAAAAACCAAAAAATTGCTGACAAATTTCTTTCGACGAAAAATCTTCCCGGCGCTGGTGCTGTCGATATTTCGCTTCATAGCACTCTAAATACCGTAAAGAGGACGATTTACGCCCCATTTATCTGCCAACTTGATGATGAAGAAATAATTGATGGACTAAAAGATCAAGGTGTCACTGCAGTGCATAAATTTACCAAATTAAACAACGGCTCTCGTGTGCCTACTGGCGCCTTATTATTAAATTTTGATAAATATACTTTGCCTAGTCGTATTGAAGTTGCCTGGCGAACCCTGGATATCCGACCTTACTATCCTAATCCCATGCGCTGCAAGAATTGTCAGTTGTTAGGACATACCCCAAAGCGCTGTAACAATACCCCATCTTGTGTGATCTGCAACCTCCCCCCAAACCACTCCCCTCCAACTGATTGCTCTAGAATTAAATGTGCAAATTGCGATGGTGAACATCCTTCGTCGTCAAACTCCTGTCCAAAATTTGTCCAGTCTAAAGAGATACTCAAAATTAAAACTATTCACAAGTGCTCAATGCGAGAAGCCATCAATTCATACAAGTCACAAATTCACACTACTCCTACACAATTTTCTTTTGCCAATGTTACTGCTTCCAATAACAATGCTACTTACTCCAAAAATCCACAACAACAACCAACAACAAACAAAGAAAAAATTTCAAACTCAAATGATTCTAATCTCAACAATAAAGTTACAACATCAAATCACAATAACACCTCCTTTAATACCAACACCAACTCAATCCATAACGACTACCCTGATACCCCATCTCCCTCAGTATCCCCCCTAAATAATTCTCCTTCCCCTCTCTTCCCACCCCTCTCCACAATCACATCTCCTACCATTAAATCCCCCTCCCTTCATGCTCTTTTACCATCTTCCCCTCCTTCCAATAGCCAATTGCCCATGGAAATATAATTCCCAATATTCATTGTTCAAATTATATAATCACTAGCAGACCCGGCGAACTTCGTCCCGCCCAAAATTTTTATATATTTTATTGAAACTTTTTGGTCCAAAATTTTTACCAACAATTCACGTTTACGATTTCCATTGGCACATTTGTCTGCTAAGATTAAGGTTTGGTGGTTCTTTGCCGCTTTAAATAACCTAAGGAAAGTGTTAAACTATGTTCACATTACCAACATAAAATACTTAGTTTCGTTTAAAATACCTCACTAAATTAAGTGCGTTCATACACGCGTTTCTTTATTTGTCTTGACAGCTTTGAAGCAACCCTGTGTTATTGTTTATTTAACGAAAAGAGATCGCGAATGTGAGTAATTGCGTATATTTTTATATTCTGAGTTGTTTGTGGTAATTTTTTAGATTTTAGATGAGTGATCAAAAGAGAAAGCTTCTGGAAATATTTTACAAACTACCACGCGCGATTATTAAAAACAAAAACGTCCAAACACAATGACATATCAGTTGTGGGACAATACTTTTTTCGATTATTATCGATAAAATTAGAGCCGACACTGATTTGTTCGTGCTTTGGTTCTTGGTTTAAGATAAACTACGTACTTTCATCTTAATTTACTGAGA